CGAGTTCTCGCCGCTCTGTGACAACTTTCAGGCAACTCTTCGGACACACCTGTGTATGTACCTATTATACTTTACCCAGTTCATGAAATATTTCGTGTCTACAATGTTGTTCATTTCCCCAGATCTTGTATATGCAATCAATTTCTATTGTTTTCTATGCTTTGTTTTTTTTTTTACAAGTTTTAACCCAACGATGAAAAATTGTCAACCGTTGTTAGTTTGGAATAACAAACAAGCGCTTTAGTAATTTATAGTCCGTAACAAGGGACAAAATTCCGGTTGGATACGAAAGACTATACGAATTTATAGATTTCTCAAAAGATTTAAAATAGTCTGATCCGTTACTCGCTACTGTGACGAAAATGACCGCGAGGATCTCGCGAATCGTGGATTACGACGCAGCGTAGTAAAGAAGTTGCAGAATATATGTATCGTAACGTAAGGCGATAGAATACAATAGAAGGCAAATAACGATCGTCAAAAGCTGACAGGGACGAACAAAGACGTATGTACATATGCGTCTTCGCATTTCATCGTACGTTATTACAACGCGTTGGCGTGATTTATGACGATACAAATTATTAGATTCAGGCATGACGTCCTTTCACGCGAGATCGTTGTTTCTCTTAACGTTTGTTTCGGTTTTTATTGTCACCAAGCCGCATACCTGGCATAGAATAAACCCGATAGTCAATGGTTCTCTCGTGTGCTGCGTTTTGGAGGGTCAGGCGACTCCGAATGTGTGAAATTCTACAATTACGCGAGAACAACGCGATATTCTATCATTATCGATATAGCTTTTCGTAGACGATCTATCATATTCGCGGCAACGGTTTTGAAAAGGAGATAAATATATAGCAAGTATCGTCGAGAGGACAATGGGTAAGGAGTAAATGATAAAAATTAAATTTTCCTAAATTATGTATATTCTTTGATACGCGAGGCTTAAGATAATAGACAGAACGTTACGTAAAACTTTTGTATTTTAGCTTCTAAATGAGCAACTACCTCGAGTACGGTAAACAGTAAAGGCGGGCAAATAAACTCGACTAAGCAACTGCTATCTTGTACAGAAGTGTAACTGAAATGAAAACAAGAGCATCTTCTTAAAGCATGCTCTTTAAGAGTTACAGAACTATACAGCCGTTTGAGAATGTCCGTGTTTTCTTCTGTTATTTTAAACCCAAACATCTACAGTAGAATCGAGGATTTTAGGAAATGAAGTCAAATTTGCTAAGTGAAACTTTACATGGTAAAACCTTGACGTCGAAAGCGAAGCATAGAATGGATTCGTCGAACATAATTATAAATACTGTTTGACTGTCATGAAAAATTCGAATCGTTGTATAACAGAAAATACACTACAACGTAGCTAGTCGTTAACGTTCTTATGTCTGCCTGTTAATGGCCTTACATGAAACAAGAAGAACGATACTCTACCAGACAATATTAAATCACGATATAGTAATATCTTTATAGGTGATATTTCTGTATCTATTTGATTCGCTTTCGCTCGTTATTATCTTTTCTTGCTGATATTACTACTACGGTAGGAAATCGAATTATGCGTATAAAACTTTATGTTCCGCGTCATATCTACACAGAGGGTGTTCAGCTACAAGTGTCAGGAAATTTAAGGGATGATTCTTGACACCGAAATAAGGCAAAAATCAAGAATAAAAAGATTGCGTTTTCGGTTCTATTGTTTAGTTACTGGCAATTAAAAATACCCCTGCACGCGAGCAAACCCTCCTTACACGAACGAAAGGAGGTCAGCCTAAGCAGTAGGGCGTATATTATATATATGTATACAGTATGCACGGAGATACTAGCATAGCAATTAATAAATTCTCGACACAAGCAGCTTATCGATTCTTAAAGCATATGCAATAGTTTTACTCCAATTGATATTTAAGCTTTCGCATAAGCCAACAAGAAATCAAACTTACAAGAGATAAAATAAAAATTAAAGATACATAAAGTTACATTTAATATGTGATTAATCGATCGAGGCGAATCGATTTCGGGTATCACGCAAGCAGTAAGAAATGGTTTTCATTTGAACGGTACACGACGTTCAACGTAAAAATGCAAATGCGCGTTAAAGATAGGCCACGTTAAAGACGCTCGGTGAAAGAGGAAACTAAACGAGTGGCGAAATTTTGAAGCGGCCGGTAACACTTGAAAAACTCGAAGGCCGATAGCCAGGTCGTATATCATGCCGATAGCGCGGCAAAGGATGCAGGGAAACGAGCCTGGCTCGAACTTGTTGAGCAAATAAAACGCTAAAATGTAGTAAGCCGAGGAGAAATCAGCAGTAGAGGTATCAGAAACGTATAGATGTGTTAGTAACTAGCTTTACAGTGTTATAATATTGGTTCGCTGAATATTACTCGTGCGATCGGCCACATTATTTACGCAACGATAAATCGAAGAAAACACTCGCTTCACGCGCGACATTCGAGTGTCTTTCCGATTCCATTCGATAGCCGCGTTCTATCGCATCTACGTCTCTCACCTTCCTGTGTCTGGTGACAAAAATCTAACCTTACTTTTATTTTGTTTCTCTTTTCTCTTTAAAATCTCTCACACACATTCCCTACTTTGTGTACGTTCGTATTGATTCTTTACCGTGTTTGCTCGCTAACACCAAGAACGGAAGTATCGACACATTACACGCAAAATTTCATTGTCGCGTTAACGTAATTCCGCGTGTTTGTAAGTCATGTTCGAAATTTCTCAAACAGTCTACGAGGGTTATCTCTGTTAACTCTTGTATAATTTTCTTTCAATTTAAACACTATCGCTGATGTAATAAATGATATATTAAACAATTCGTAATGTAACAGTAACAGATCTAATTCTAAGCAACCGTCAAGTAACAATTACAAACATCGTTACCTATCGGATACATACATAACTTGCGTTCATATATCAAGCAAAGTACCGGATAAGTGGGTATAATTTTTTAACGCTTAATAAAAAGTCGACGTGTAAAATAAATGAACGGTCAGCGCGAATATTCCTCTATCTCCGTGGACGACAAGTGTCGAATAATCCTTTCGTCTAACTAACGGTTAATAACCTATAGCCTTTTCTACAGATTTTTCCTAGAAGTAATTTATCATCAGAAAGGATTCTCAACTCAACGAAGGATATCTTGCTCGGTTTAGGTTACCCCCTCCTTGAAACTCCTGCCCTGTCGGAATTACAATTATCAAAGTTAGCCGATGAACTTTTAATTAGAATCCGAATAAAGTCTGAAAGGTCGTGACAAATTGAACGACCGAGCGAGTCGGAATGATCGACGAAAAAGCAGCGACCGAAAAGACTTTGGAAGAAAGGAAAAAAGTGTCGCAGACTGATAAAGCTTGAAAAGTAGAAACTCTTGTTTCCTGAAGGGGGCAAAAGGATCGCGACTACGCTGCGCGATACGACGCGACGGGAAGCGCTCTTAGAAAATCAACAAGCGTCTGGAATACGAGGAAACGAATGGAATACGAAGGTTCGTTGTATCGTCCTTTGCGAAGCCTTTTGTTCTGGCGCAATACCGCCGTGAAAACTATGTAATTTACGCTCCAGCCAACAAACCAATTACGCGCCTCCGTTAGCTGCAAAGTTACACAGACTTTGTGTAATTTTTCAGTCAAAAAGTGATTAAAGAGATTAGCAGCGTGTTTTCTCGCACGACACACGTTTACTTTTCGATGAGAGGATTCGTCTTGGCGGAATTGTATGTGACTACAGAGGTGCCAAGTCCGAGTAATCGATCGTCTTTCGTTTCTTATTTCGTTCATCTTTTTTTGTTTCTTCCTTTCCTACTAAACGACATCTTCAGACGGAACGTTTACGCGTACGAGTAGTTTCGAACTAATCCCCGTAATATTCCGTGTTGCGTACAGTTTGTCATCCTTCGTAACGGAGTTTAATGCCACAGTATCTAGCTAGTACTGCTACCGTGAGATCAATATCCCGTAAAGGTAGTTTCCCGGGAGACAGTGTATTTTCATTCTATTGGATCAGCAGTATTTTGGGGTCTGATACAGCTTCCGCTATACGTATGTTAATCTAGGAAAACTGCTGTTACCAAACGAGCAGGCTGTTTTTTTAACCAACTCGTATTTCCGGCTATGGCAAAAAATTGTATATCTGCCTTCAATTGAAGCAACGTTTCGCTAAACGATAATCCCGTATTTATGATTTTCCAAGTTTAATATCTTTCTATCGCGTCAAGCGTTTCGTCGCTGCTTGCCAGAAATTTTATCTTCCAAGTAGTTTCTGACCCCACTTTCTTGTCGGTTCGTATTCGTCCGATCGAATATATCCAAAGAACAACTCGACTGGTTCGTCTATGATATGAAGTAGAAGAACACGGATGAAAGACGAATGATAGGAAACGAGCGAAGACGAGACGCCCGGAGGTAGTTGTCCCAGAATCAATCTTCTGCAAGCGAGGGCGCTCTTTCTTAACTGCTAAGGGAGTTCTACTGACACGGAAGCAGAAACTATCGGCTTGGCGACATCGCCGCGGTAATTGCACGCTTCTCGAACAACGAAGTCTTTCGTAACTGGATTTCTTGGCTCTATTCGATGTCGAGTTTTACTGCAGTCCGGTTTTTCCTCCGATGTCTCTGTCCCACCGACGCTTTGTCTGACTTTTCGGTTTTAATCGACGATTATTAATATTATCATGTTACTTTATTATATTAGTATCATTAAGATTGGTAAAATACGTGTACGCTTTGAACTATCTGTATATTGGAGGTTTTTTGGAAAATTCTAATTTTTGAATAAGAATATATTGAACCGTAAAATCTAACTGAAGTACATACGTATGTGTTACTTTTTGGTATTCATCACATAATTTACTGTCATATGACACGCTTTCGGCTCAGTATGGACTTTCTTTCGTGTTGTAGCTATATAGATTACCTGAATTAAGATTTTAACTAAAACCTAGATTTTTAGATCATGCGAATCAGTATGAACCATTTTTTTGAGTTTTTCAATATTTATTTAGTCACATTCATACATATGATATAAGATGAAGTCGTAGCATAATGAAAAATGAAATAAATTGCTTTATCATAAAACGTAATACCACAGCATTCGGTTATTCATGGGACAATTACCAACGAAATATTACAGTCTAATAAGCAAACTTGATTTTTGTATATGTATATATTAAAGATAGTAATTTATACCATCTACAGTGGTTTAAATACAGAGAAATAAAATAATTAACAAGTGTTCCTACCCTACTTCGACGTGTATTGAAAGATTAATGTTCAATGGCAACATTTTTCAAGTTATTATGTGTCTACATATATTGATCAAAATATTAGTCAATAATAAGATCAACGAGTACCAAATAATACTAAATGATTCTTTCCTAGGTCAACATCGTGTTTTAATTATTATCGTTTTTCGATGTATTTCCAAATATTATATAACATTTACATTGGTTTATCTATGAATATAAAATTTATCGAAGGTGGCAATGTGTTCGAATCTAATATATAGTTTGTTTTAAAAATCAAATAAAATTATGTATCAATACTTAACGTTAAATTACTTACTGTACATTATACAGGGTTACATGTTTATTTCAAATAAAATATAACTTAATAATTAGAGTAAAGGGAAACGATATAGTGAAATTTTAAAATCGATCAGTCAAAGGTTAGAGTAGACAGCTTTCGATAAAAGCGTTAGGTAGTCGTCAACTGATCCGGATAGGATGGACCATGGCAGGGCACGCTGCTCGGATAGAAGCATCGGTCCCACAATCCAAAACGCCAACAATACAATTGCAGGAGTCGTACGTAAAGCTAAAGCACTGGGCCTTATCATCGCCTAAGGCAAAACAAAACCAGTCTTTCCCACAAAATAAGAAAGATTACGGACCCGTTTGCCACCGTCAAAGCCTTCCTCGTGCAGGAGAAAAGGTATATGAAATACTTGAGTACAATCATGAGCAAGAATCCCACTTTCGTCGCGCAAATTGATAAGAGCAATAGAGCTTATGAACAAATTAAGCCGACTCATACCAAATATAGAGAGACTAAGATAGCCGTGCAGGCGATTCCTGGCCGCCGTAGTACGATTCATCCTACGCATATGGCGTGTCGGTGTAAGCCTGGACGGTCAAGAGGCAAACACACGCGACACACGTGTACAAAGTCCACGCATTGTACGCGTTCCGAATCTCCGGAGCATATATCATTGTCCTGAATAAAGTGCGATAGCCGAGCTTTCCCCTTTGACTTTCTAATTACCCAGAGACAAGAGGAGAGAGTTGCAGCAAAGGACTACAAGCAAACACTCACCTTCCCACAAGGAGAGGGGCAAAGATCAAGAAAAGATGTAAAGCGAATGCCATTCGGAAATAACAAGAAAGATGGTCCGGGAATGCGGGAACGTGTCACTGAACCAAGTTCCTGAAAGTTGTAAGCATTAACCACTGACTGATTTTACGATCTCGCTATATCGCTCGCACCTTTTATATATATCCTAATTCATCCACTTCATATCAGAGTTTAGTTTAATACGGACAACATGCAATTTTCAATAGAGAATTTCTGAAAAATGTATAACTTATTTAATAATGATGATATTTTTAGCTCATAATCAAATTATAATACTTGGTTACATTTGTATGAAATGTCATATGGTTGAATAACAGTTCCATAGGATAGTAATTTGAAATAATTAAATGAAACTGTACCTTATTTATTACCTAAGATAATCTAATAATTCATACAGTCTTCATATGATCTTCAGTTATCATCACCATCGTCATCGTCATCCGATATATACTTTTTAGTGACCCTTTTCCTCCGGCCACCTCTACCTTCGCCCTTCCTTCCTTTCAACTTGATTCTCATTCTAACAGTGGAATCTGCATCCGATCCTTCTTCGCCTTCACCTTAAAAATTTCATGCATATAGAATCGTTTTACTATGATTTTTAACATGTTTTATTAAATCACAATAATAAGGGAAGCACCTTTGTCATCCATGTCGGAATTATTGCCTTCCTCTTCGATACGTTGACGCGCATTCGTAAATACAGATTGTAAAACAATGGAATCTTCGTGTATGAGAGAAGCTTCTTCGTTATAAATTTGTGCATTTTTACACAGCTGCATAAAGTCTTTCTCAAGATCGTCAAAATCGGCATACTGTAACAATAAGTATACAAAAAATTAATTCGCCAATTAAAAAATAAATAATTGCAATGATCGTAAAATAAAGGAACAAGTAAAAGCTCTATAATTGCTCGCAAAGATCGTAACTTTAATTTTAACTGCTCATGTTTTATCCCCACCAGTAATATAATATGCCAGCGGCTTTCCTTTCAAGATCCGTATCGTCTTCATATTGGTGAAACGACACTAATGCAACGACGAAATTTCTTTATTTTCAATTTTTTGTTAGTACACATTTCATTAACGCGTTACAAAGATTTTTTTGACTAAATGAGATAAAACACGATAATATTACTATAAAATTTGGTTATGATAATTTGGCTTACTGGTCTTTCTTCTCCTTTTGCTGTCCTTCTCTACGTGCATCATTGTCGGCAACATATGTATAAAGAATTTGAAGAGTTGTGTCCACGTTTCGTTAACTACTCCCCAGTGGTTCCCACTCTCGAGCTCTTATAGAGTCTTTACTATATACAACAAAAATATTTTATATTTACCTTTCCTTCTTCAATCTTTTGAAGTAATTTATTGATAGTTAATGGTTTTTTAATAATTTCATAATAATCCGGCAATTCTCTTCTGGATGGTAATTTCATAAATGGTTCGCTAAGGAGCCTGCCATCTGTACTATCAGTGTAATTAACAACTACCATAAGCAACTTTTTCATAGCTCGTTTCATTTTCGGGTCAATTGAAGATCCTGTTCCTCTTCGCTTCTTTGGCATAGGCTCGTCGTCCTCCTCGCCTTTCTTCTTCCGTTTTCGTGTCTTCTTCTTCTTCTTATCGTCTTCCTCTTCCTCTTCGTATTCAGCTCCATCGTCATCGATTGCTTTCAGCCATTCTTTTTCAGTCAAACTGTCAGTATAATCGACTTCCTTCCGTTGCCTTGAACCTCGTCCAAGGAATCTATCCTCATCTTCTTCATACGTCCACCTTTCAACCTCGTCATCATCTTTTACTAACCAATCGGGCAACTCAGCTTCCTCCAATAGTCGGGACTTTCTGTTTGGACCCAGCTTCGCTTCTTCTCTTCTTCGTTCTAAATCTAACTTTTGAAATATTTCAAATTCACCTTCCGTTCGTGCAATCATTTGATTAACCGTTTCATCGTCCGGTACTTCATTTTCTTCTTCATCTTCAGCATCATCTTGATGCAGAATGCTTTGTAAGAATTGTTGCCGTTCAGAACCAGTCGACTTTTGATCGAACATTCCTGCTTGTATAACCTTTTCATCCATGTTCAATTTGTATCTAGCTGCAGCCAATATTCTTTCTTCAACCGAATTAACCGTCATTAATCTGAGTACGCGTACTTCATTCTTTTGTCCAATTCTATGTGCTCTATCTTGTGCTTGCAAGTCCTGATGCGGATTCCAATCAGAATCGAAAATAATAACGGTATCCGCAGCTTGCAAATTTAATCCAAGACCACCAGCACGTGTCGATAGCAAAAATAAGAAATATTCGGAACCAGGATCGTTGAATTTCTTGAGTAAGTCTCCTCTATCTTCAGCTTTCGTAGTGCCATCTAATCGCAAATACATAAATCCTCTCCAACTTAAGTAATCTTCCATAATTGTCATTAACTGTGTCATTTGACAAAATAATAGTACTCTGTGATTTGTCGCTTTCAATTTCGGAAGAATACGATCCAGCAATTCAAATTTTCCAGAGGCACGGTATAGGTCGGGACCAGTAATCACACCAGATCCTTGCGTACCTACATGCTCGCAGTATTTTTCTTCAATAGCTTGGAACATGAATGGATGATTGCATAATTTTCTCAATTGCACAATGGTGTTCATTAGAGCTTTGGCGCCTCCTTTGCCCTGTTTTCCTTTTTCCGAGCCATCAGTTAGCAATACACCCTTACTCTGCATGTGTTTATAAAGAACCTTTTGCAGTCCAGACATATCGCATTTGATTATGTATTCAACTTTATCAGGTAACTGTGATTCAACTTCTTTCTTTAAACGCCTCAGTAAGAAAGGACGTAATACTTTATGTAATCGGCGAATAATAAGAATAGTTTCTTCTTCATTTAATTCTACCTTTTCACCAGTGGTTGCGAATGGAGCATTGAACCATTGTTCGAAAGTACTACAAGATTTAAAGATTGAAGGAAGTAAAAAATTTAATAACGCCCACAATTCAGGCAATTTATTTTGCAATGGTGTTCCTGTCAGTAGAAGCCGATGAGGAGCCAGATAATGTGTATTTAATACTTGAGTTAGTTTACAGTGATGATTTTTCATTCTATGTCCTTCGTCGATAATCATATATTTCCACTGCAATTTTGCTAAAACGCCCTTATCTTTAATAACATATTCATAAGTAGTAAGCAAAACATTAAATTTAGTGGCTCTCATTTGAGATTGAATGGCTCTTCTGCCAGCTGGTGAACCTTTATACGACACAACTACAACACTAGGAGCCCATTTCTCAAATTCCAATACCCAATTCGACAAAGTTCTAAAAAGAAGTGTTAAAAGTTACATTTAAATATTGCAGACGTAATTTTAGTTTTTTACATTTTTATTATTTTAGAAAATTTCATAGAAGTAATACTTACGATAAAGGGACAATTATAAGAAATGGCCCGTTTACTTTTTTTTTCTCCATAAGATAAGTCACCAAAGCTATTGTTTGAATAGTTTTGCCAAGACCCATTTCATCCGCAAGTATACCATTGAGATTATTGTTAAATAATGACACCAACCATTCCAAACCCTAAAATTAACAGAAGTTTTACAATGCATATTGTAAGAACAATTTTTAATGCAAGACATGTTAATGTCAAACCTTGATTTGATATTCTTTCAATTTTCCATTGACCATGATAGATGCCTGTTCTGTTACTACCTCGTGCACAGTGTGTGCAATACTGTAATACGTTTGTTCTTCCGTTTTGTATTCGTCATCCTCTACTTTGGCTTTATGTATAGTCTTTTTAACCTTCTCTTCTTCTGAATCGCCAGTAGATTTTTCTTTATTTTCCCCTTTTTCTTCACCTTCATTTTCTTCTTCCTCTTCATCTTCATCATCTTCACTTTCAGATTCAATTGGTTCCCATCCTGGATGAGATTCTAAGAATTGTGAAAGTTGACTCATTAGCGGTGCTTCTTCGCCAGTTAATGTGCGACCAGTAGCTGTTTCAATCACACCAACACGAGTATCTTCATTAGCATTTCCATCTTCGCCTCCTTCGCCATCTTGCAACTTCTTCTTTTTCTATTTCAGTGATAGCACAAAATACATTAAATTAAGTACTCATGGGTGTAGAAAGTGATAAAGATATTTATACCTTTTTACGCTTTTGTTCTTCCACTTGCTTCCTTTTTTGTTCTATCTTGTGTTGTTTTACCATTTCAGTAAGATTACTGATATATTCATCTGTCTGTGACAATAGAAACGCTAACCGTTTATCCTTCTTTTGGTCAATCAGTTTTCTGTAACCTTCTTCGTCTTCCGCCATAAGACGTCTCATACGTTCTTTCTCAATACGCTCCTGTTCTTTCTTCTGTTCTCTTTCAGCATTTGCATGATAATTTAGAACAGCTTTGTTGAGTCTTGCCAATTTGGCCACATTATTTCGATGGAATTCTTTGAAATCTTTACCATGTTGAAGTACAGAACTAAGAAACTCCTTTTAAAATAGAAATGAAAATTACATACTATTTCTCCATTTAATAATAATTTTAGCAAAAAGTTAGAAATCTAATTACTTGATGTTTTTGCCTTCGTTTACGTTCAGCTTCCAATTTTTGTTGCTTTTCGAGTTTCTCTGTAGCTCTGGCTTCCCTAAGTCCTTGTCTTTTCGTACGCTTGTAGGCTTTTACATTCACTGCAGTTTCTAAGGTAGTATCTTTTCGAGTACATGCTAAAATCTTTAAACGATAATAGCTATAACTAAAAAGAAGCTATAGTAACGGAATAATACTATCTATTTATTTATTTATTTTTTTTTTACATTCTAATATTCTATTCTGTTATATTATTTTATTTATTAATTACTCCTTTAACAGAGTGATATTATTAATATTTGTTACGATTACCTCTGATCGTAGTTGTCTTTGGAAATTCAGTACCCTAAGCATCCGTAACTCAATCTGTGCCTGGATACGGAGATCTTCTGGCATGTTAGTTGGTAAATTGCTCAATTGTTCCATTCGTAACGCTATGCGTGCTGCAACTCTATTATTAAAGAAATCATGAACTAAAGTCACTAAAGCTTCAGCAAATTCATACAGTATGTCTTTTTTAAATATTATTTAACATACGTAACCATAAAACGTTTTAATTGAAGAAATGCATGTGTCGCTTTCCTCGATGTATGAGAGTGAAGTTTGTTTTCACATTGGACCCTACCATGCCAGTATTAGTATATTTTAGATAAATATTTTAATTAATTCAATAACTACCTGTTTTCACGTTCCTGCAAAATCAGTAGCGGATCTAAACCAGCTGGTTTTGCCACACTTGTCACTCTGTTAGTTTTAGCACCTGGTTGAGGAGGTTGTTGTTGTTGTGGTGTTTGGCAACCTGGTCTTGGAGGAACCGCAGGACCAATTACATTTGGTCCAGAGATTTGTGGACCTGTAGTAGTAGGAGGTCCTTGAGATGGATCTATAGGAGTACGTTGTCCCATACCTGGAGGAGGAGGTGCTCCACCTATTTACATCAATCTTAAATCAAACCCCCAGTTTGGATCATCCTACTCTACTTTTGTATTTTTATAATATTAGTAAAATTAGAAATACATCTAATTACAAGCGAAAATTATATATATCAGTCATTAATAAATCAAATTGTTAAATAATGATTATTATTCAACTATAAATAGAAATTGTTAAATAATGATTATTATTCAACTATGAATAGAAATTTATTATTGAGTTCATGAAAATAATATATTGCTAGATATAATTTTTAATACATAAAATAGAAAGGATTAAATGTTTTACTAAATGAGTAGAAAGAACAATGTTAAATACATTCTTTCTCTCTATAAATATTAATTTAAATAGAAGTAATACGTATTTAATTAAGGTGGAAGCTATAACAAATAAAAATTCGCATATACAGAACATTCTGAAAATAAGCTTGCAAATTCTTGTAGAATCTTGATAAATCATTCTAAACTAAAATATCATGTATTATCTTCTATTTGTAAAAAATATATAACAAAAGTAAGATACACAATATTTTAAATTCCGTTGTAGGTTTCCGATTGTAGGAAAATTCTCTCAAATATAATTTATTTGAGGAACTCTATTTATGAGACTTTCAACTTTGCTTGAGGAATTTGAGCAAATAGCTCATATTATTTGAGTTTAACAATGTCACTAAGCAATTACCTAAAGGGCAAATAAACAGTTTTGGAATTGTGGAAAACTATGCTATGAAATTCTACTAATTAAAATTAGTTTCATTTACAAAAAGTGATACTGACATGTATTTTACTTATGCGCTTATTTTAAAAAATCTTACATGTAAAAATAATATAATTTTTCTCTGTTTGCAATTACTAAACGAATAGTACTTGGTATCTACTCAATATGTGACATTTCTGACAAAAAATAGTTTACTAAATACTATACATGTAAAAATTTATTGGTTGTTTCTTAGTATACTCTCTATATATAACACAGTGTATATTTTTAAAACAATACAAAAGATAGAGTAGTCACCTAAAACACAAAACTAATAGCACCTATGTTTAATTTACCTTGAACTGCAAGTGCAAGTTGTTGCGATAACGGTTGATTTCTTGCTAATAATCGATATGCCATTATCTGTACACTGCAAACAATTATATATAAAACATTAATATCTTTAGATAATTGATGCAATTAATTACATATATAATTAACAAATATATTCTATATAGTATACCGCAATTGTTGTAATTGTTGTGAACTAAAAGCTTGTTTCTCTCCAATGTTGCCTTGACGAGCCCTTAAAGCTAGTAGCTGAGAATAACGTGGATCCTCTTGAAGTCCCTTTTCTTCCATTGAATCAATAGCTTTCTGTAAAGCATTCAAATTTTCTTGTCCAGCACCAGGTGGACCACCAGGTCCAGTTTGACTCATTTGATTCACAGGTGCACCAGGCCCGATTGGCGCTGAACCTCCAGGAACAATTTGTTGGCCCTGTGAACCAGGGCCAATTTGGCCAGAAGATGGCTGCCCACTTGGTCCCATTTGATTGCTAGCACCACTGTGGCTTAGCTGATTGTTTGGTCCATTTGGTCCTATTTGATTACCAGGGCCACCAGGTCCCATTTGATTTGCAGGACCACCTGGTGGTATTTGTACTCCTGAACCACCTGGAACCATTTGCCCTCCAGGACCATTGGGTCCCATTTGACCACCTGGTCCTATCTGTCCACTTGGACCATTTCCAGGACCCATTTGACTATTTGAGTTATTTCCTGGGCCCATTTGTCCTCCAGACAAATTTCCTGGTCCCATTTGACTATTGGGTCCACTTCCTGGACCCATTTGTCCACTAGGTCCGCTTCCTGGTGTCATCGGGTTTCCAGGAGCATTTCCAGGTCCTATTTGATTTCCACTACCACTTCCTGGTCCTATTTGCCCTCCAGGACTGCTTCCTGGCCCTATTTGACCTCCAGGTCCACTACTTGATACCATTTGTCCACCAGGACCACTTCCAGGGCCCATAGAACCTCCAGGTCCATTGCTTGGTGGCATCTGTCCTCCAGGTCCACTTCCTGGTCCCATTTGTCCAAGACTACTTCCTAATTGTCCCCCAGGTCCACTACCCGGACCCATTTGATTACCTGGCCCTCCTGGACCCAATTGACTTCCAGGCCCTCCCATTCCCAGTTGTGATGAGGCAGATCCGATACCCATCTGTCCAGGAGCATTTGGACCCATTGGTGAGGGTCCGTTATGTCCCATTTGGCCAGGTGCATTTGGCCCAATTTGTCCACCTTGTCCAACAGGCCCCATGGGACTAGGTCCCATAGGGGTTTGACTACTAGGTACCATTTGATTTGGACCTCCAGGACCCATTTGATTTGGTCCTCCTGGCCCCAAGTTATGTGCAGTAGAACCACCTGGAGGCATTTGACCTGGCCCTCCAGGGCCTAAATGATTTCCAGGTCCGCTAGCATTCATATGTCCAGATCCTGGTGGACCACTTGCATTTATATGACTTGGTATGGATGGTCCGCTATTTAAATGACTTCCAGGCGGACCACTAGCATTCATATGAGTTGAACCTGGTGGACCGTTTGTATTAATATGTCCTGGTCCAGGAGGTCCATTAGTGCTCATATGTCCTGGTCCAGGCGGACCACCTGAACTCATATGACCTGGTCCTGGTGGCCCAGTCGCATTCATATGGCCTGTTCCAGGGGGTCCAGTTGCATTCATATGGCCTGGTCCTGGTGGCCCACTTGAGTTGATATGTCCTGGTCCTGGTGGTCCAGCTGCATTCATGTGGCTTGATCCTGGTGGGCCACTCATATGTCCTGGTCCTCCAGGTACCATTTGCGAATTTGAAGGTCCTCCAGAACCCATTTGTGGCACAGGTCCATTTCCAGGACCCATTTGAGGAGGAGCCTGACTCATATGTGGACCTCCTGGTGGCCCTCCAGCAGCTTGGCCTAAATGGCTTGCTCCAATCGGTCCTGAACCTCCTGGACCCATTTGACCAGGACCTCCTGGGCCCATTTGACCAGGGCCTCCTGGGCCCATTTGACCAGGGCCTCCTGGGCCCATTGGACCAGGACCTCCTGGGCCCATTTGACCAGGGCCTCCTGGTCCCATTTGACCAGGACCTCCCGGACCCATTTGACCAGGACCTCCTGGGCCTATTTGACCAGGGCCTCCTGGGCCCATTGGACCAGGGCCTCCCGGTCCCATCTGACCAGGGCCACCAGCACTCATTTGTCCTGGTCCATTTGCATTCATTTGGTTTGGACCAGATTGCATAATGTGAGATGTTCCTTGAGATCCACTTGGTCCCATTTGGCCTGGTACCATAGGTCCACTGGGAGCCTGCTGAGAATTAGAATTTTGACTAACTGGCATGCCAGGTCCACTCTGATTCTGTAACATCAGAAGTGGTACACTTGTTTCGTTTATCATGCAATTAATATTATTGTTAAGAAATATGATTTCTCATGCAGAAAAAATGTGATACATGATAATGAAATATGGGAAATCAAATTAATTAATTTCACTTTTCATAAATTTCTCAAAGAATAAATAGCTTATTTCTGTAAGTTTATTCTCACGGAGATGGAATAAATAATTATAAATTCTAACAAGGGATGCTTCAAGCATTGTTATAGTAATACTTCCATATGTGAAATAAATAATGTATGTAAATTTGTAATACATAATTGTTTTAGCGAATATAGTATTTCTCCCATTTTTTTCTAAAAATTGCTGATCAAATATTTAATCTTTTTAAAAGTGCTGGCTTATAAACTGTTGATAAAAATTTGAAATTAACCTTTCTAAGCCACAAGAAAATAAATTAAATATGAAACCTACAGACTTAGAGCAGGAAAAAGATATATTTTGATTAGATGAGTAAAATTAATGTCTTTTTTAATATAAAAAGCTGTTTGTGTGACTAATTTTCATGAGCTTACATAATATATATATTCACAAAAAGCTTTGTAAATATAAACTATCAATAAAAAAATAAAATCAATAAAAAAATAAAAAGTCTAGATAGACAGTAAATTTAATTGCAATTAATAATTGTAAGCTAGTAAATTTTATAGAGTTGCAAAGGACACTCTATTTCTTGTAGTGAATATTACTTTAGCAGTAGGCAATCTGAGATGTGTTTTTTAAGCAGATCATATGATAAATTAGACATGATTTGTAATATAATTTGTACTATGATACTTTTACTTTAAAAAAAAGAAAGGGAGAGAAAATATTTATAGTACATATGATTTTTTTGTTAAATGTTGATAGTATGCATTCATTTTCCTATGAATATTTGCAATGCCAGAAATCTTTAAATTTGATCCTTAATCTATAATATTTCTAGTAAAATTTAAAAAACAATTTGTTTCACAAATATATGAATTTTTCCCCATTGTTTTGAAAAAATATGTCCTCTTATTGCTTATTCTAGTATAAAACAATCCTTTATAATTTTGTCTAGCAATAATAAAACATGCTGTAACCATCTATAAAAAGTAAAGATAATATTTCTTAAATTTTGTTTTTACCTGTGGACCCATAGCGGATTGCATTTGTTGTGGGTGTGATGGATAATTTTGTTGTTGCGGTGGAGGTTGTTGATTCGGTTGAGACATAGGTGGACCTCCAGGTGGCATTGGCGGACCAGTTTGATATGCTTGTGTTGGACTATGAGGATGATGCTGTGGTGGTCCCATGGGACTACCTTGTGGGTTAGAAGGTGATGGTGCCTGCTGAGGAGGACCCATAGGACTTGGAGTTTGTGGTGGAGGCATAGGAGACGATTGTGGTGAAGGACTTGCCATACTGATGTCCTTAAACTTTTAAATATGTGAAGTTCACCACCTAAAATATATGAAAAGATACACAGTATTATTAATAATATATATTTACACTAGCTTTGTAGAACATTAATAATATGTATATTCTCATACTGATACTATAATTAATACAAATATTCAAACTGTTTTTTATAGAAAAATATGGTAATTCATTTCCTTCTGTAATCAAGCTTAAAGACTCTATGCTATTATAAACTGACTATTATATATAAAAAGAGTCATATCAGTACATACCATTATAACATTCGTTTTACTATAATAGAAACAACTTTCATTTTAGTCAGAAGTTAACATCATTACAATGAAAAAGTTGATCAAATTTTATATCGATTTCAGTATAAACGATCATCAACATTCGTTACCGGCCATTTTCTTAGTGTTTCTACTCGCAATACATTAAGCACGTCAGAAATCATGGCTGTCTGTTCAAAGCTATTTCCTACACCTATGTATGTTTCTTTAAATTAAAAACCAATATAAATTCATATTTGTTATGATTACTGAATATATTTGTATATTTGATAAAAGTTGAATCATTTCTCTTCTTTTAATAAATTTAATATAACTTGTGAAACCTAAGAATTTTTATTAAAATTACAACACTATCTTGCTAACTGGTTGGAATTCTACCTTACTAACTGGTCGTGGTTATCCCCACTATTTCTTGGAAGTGCCTCCATGGAGCAGAGCTTCTGCATTATACGTACTCTATATATTTTTTCGTTTAGCGTATTTGGAGTCCTGACATTTAATTGTTTTTGTATTAGTTTTGCATATAGGCTCTCAATTTTAAAATCTCACTATTTCAGGTTGAAGATCACAGCCATATAAACAAAGAGGAAATGAGAACATTCACGCCCGTAATTCTAGTTATTTCGCAGTACAGGTGCTGCACCATGCGGCCAAGTGCTGAAGTTAACTAAAGTTAGCATATACAAGAACCTATAAAATTAGGAATCTGCCATGTTAGATTACAATTTAGCATTTACAAGAACCTATAAAATTAGGGATCTGTCCTGTTAGATTGCAATTTAGCATATACAAGAACCTATAAAATTAGGAATCTGCCTTGTTAGTTTGCAATTTAGCATATACAAGAACTTATTTATTTAAGCTTAAAGTTAGAGATTAACTCTGATTGTACACTAGCATAGACAAGAACCCATTGAGTTCCACGCTATAAGACCTATTTAATTGTACGGTTCTACGAAAAAATTCATATCTACTTTTCTATCTGAGATAAACAATTATTAGAATGACAAAATCGTGCAATAATGAAACTAATTGTAAGTTATCTAACAAAGAGAAATTAATTGTTTACTATACTTTTTTTTGAAGAAAAAGAGAACATTTTTATTAATGTCCTACGCCAATATTCTTCGCGGCTTATTGTGTACGAAATTTTATACACCGATTCTGAATTTTTTCTTACGTTCATCTTACATTCTAGATTCATATTTTTATCTCTTTATCCGTTTATATCTTTACGTCTTATGTCTTTATATATTTATGTTTTTATATACTCATATTTTTATATTTTTATACTTTTATATGTTTATGTTTATAGGCCCAAGAAATTCTGTCTTTCCCAGCAACGGTAACTGTATGAAACCATTGAACACTCATTCTATCGCTTAAGAAATTATCAGTTGCTTGTAATGATCATGGATTTAGGATTTTTTCTCTTTTTAGCTTTCTATTCCAGTACGTATTGGTCGAATCAGAGTGTTTCATAAGGATTTATTGCTTATTATGATCGCTGAGTAAGACCTGCGAAATCCCTGTGCAGGCCATTCATAGGACGCATCGTATCTCCGAGTGCCGATAATATGGTGATGGTCACTTGCAGAAGGAGAATTACCAATCACACTAAATCGACCATCGCCTTTGCAAATTCGAAAATATTTAGATAATCAATCCGTATCTCTTACCTCCGCCAACATATTTCGTCCGAGGTGTCATCAGACCTTTTCCTCGTATTATCTTAAACGTATTATACGTATGGGGCAGTGTGAAAGTAATAATAAGATTATTAATTTAATTCTATTTAATCCACATTTAATTTGTTTATTTATTCAATCTATTTTCATAAATATCCGTAACTTAGCTACTACAATTTTGAATAAAATGTTTGCATTGTTACTAATATTTAATATGATTAAACTAAAATGCAAACAATAGGAGATGCATACATGGTACTGCATGACTTGCCAGAAAGAAATGGTAATGAACACGTGAGAAATATTACCTCAATAGCTTTAGCGATAATAATGCACAAACAGAATGCACAACTTACTGTTAGAATTAATGTACACAATGGACCCGATTGTACGGGTGTAGTTAGATTTAATAATAGTCTTTTTGATGATACAGTAAATACTGCATCAAGGATGATGTGTTCGGAACTACATCCTTTTTAAATCAATTCCAGAAAAACTCGTAATATTAATATTCCTACATAATGATAATACCATTAAATTTTAATTTTAATTCCAAGTTTTTAAAAAATTTTGAATCACTTCTTTTTCTCTATTCACTAAAAGTATATTTTTTATATTTTCATTAATTTATCCGAATTACAACAAATTGGATTAATCTTCGTAAATTTAAAAGTAAAATGTAAATAGAATCATTGTTAGATGGTAGATGTTGTTAGGATTTAAAATAAAAACTAGAGCTTGTAATTATAATAAATTTATTTAATTCTTTTCTATTACAATATGTCGATTTGGGATGTTTACATCAATAACATTTAATTTATACGTAAATAGAAGAATCTGTAATAGGCTTTTGTCGACAGGCATGTGCATTAAATTGTTCGCTTCGATCGACATTGCTACGCGAAAAATCATACTACCTTTTCTATTTTGTTTGCGAAACAGTTCTACTTACCAGTATCGGCGCAATTTAATACACTTGTCTAACAACAATGATCTACATAAAGCTCCAGTAAACTGGAAGAGTCAATAAAAAAAAAATAAAAATTTTCTGAAAGAAATTGAAAGAAACCAAAATTAGACATTGCCCTTTTTTAAGTATCTGCAAATTATTTTTTCTATTTCCTCTGTGTCAATCTATTCGCGGTTTCAACGTAGTGAAACTTTTTTCTGAATGTAATATGTGTATAGACTACAGCAGAATTAGCATCTTTATCTTTATCATTATGGTTAAACACTACTAGTAATTGGTTATAAACCTTTGTGTCATCTATGTTCTTATCACTGTTAAATCTAAAAAGTTGTGTCAATTATAATTCATTTTCCATAAAATCTTGACAGCAATTGTGTTGAGCTACTTAGATGCCAGGAACATTATTAGTCTGAAACAAAAAAAATGTGAGCAAATAACCTTTCTTCTTTTGAATTTCTTAATAAAAGATTGTTATGTAGATATATGTGTTAATTTCTTACCTGAAACTAATAGCTCTTGCAGCGAGGAGTCTATTGCACTCTGCCGTATCAGGTAAGGGTAAAGGTAAGTAAGGACTTTCGATTTCCTGGTCAGTGAACTCAAATTTGTGTATTCTTGGTTGTACTTTCATGTCCCCAAAAGGTCCTTTTAATATCAAATAATGAAGTGGTAGTGGATACGTTGTCTTTGATTTTAAAATCAACTATAATGCATTAAAGAGCATATTTAAAAAATTCATTAAAAAGACAATCTCATTGGTTTTTTGCAAAATATTTTTGAATTTCTACATACTTGATAAGTCATGTCTCTTTCTGAACTCTGAGTAGGATCACGTTGACTGTTATTGATCCTTGCTTTAACAACCCATTGATTGTTAAATGCCGTAAAACGAGAAGTTTCATAAAACAGTTTATGGACAAATTCATCTGTACGATATGGCTTCATTTGTAAATCTACAAAGGACGAAATTCCACAGATAACTCCTATCCTACGTTCTCTACGCGTCTATTAATACAGCAGGAAATGCAAGAACAAAATGAATTTATTCAATATTTCAAATAACTCCAATGAGATATCTAGAAGTCTAAATAAATATTTTAATTTGGATAAATCTGATGACAGAGATTGTTCCTGCTGCTGCTAAACAAAGCACAGAACAAAGTGAAATATTTTTTATAATGTTTTCATCTAAACAAGACTATGTAAGAGATTGATAGCCTTAATACACGAGAAACAGATACGGACCGTTGAATGTGATTTTCTCGTACGACAAAAGATCAAAGACATTGTCATACAGCCTACGTTCTTCAAGGGTACGGGCATCGATATCGCGCAGGGCATCCATTACATCCAGCCCTGAACGATGTGGATGTACACAATGTGCCTCGTGTTCTGGACGTTCGTGATTTGGTCCACGCCATGGGCAGCCAATTCTACTGTATTTGCAACTGGATATTCTACATACACACAACATACATTAATATTATTTTATCCAGTTCTATTTATTGACATTGATTACCTTTCTTCACACATAGTCTCTTCGTGACGTTCCAAGGAATTCCTTGGAAACTCCTTTGCACAATATTGACATTCTGCTGGTAACTCAGATACTGCTTTCTCAACTGCCAAATTTCGAGATGGAGATGTTCTGCTGATCTCGATTCTGCAGTTGGGACATGTTGCCATTTCATCTCTTAGCCTGGCATCTGCGAGGACATGAGTGAAGCAACCGGCACACATCAAGTGTCCATTTGTACACTGTGAACATTGTTGCAGCATGTATTACTAGCATTCTTAGTTTCATATTGTAAAAGATAATCCTAACTTTGTTGATAACTTTAATTAGCCTGTTGTATTTTGTTACATTATATATGTACAGCTATGTGCAAAATTTAATTTGCCAGCTCTAATAAACATATATGTTCTAATATTGATTGAAAGAAGAGAAGAGATACTTTTACTTGAAATAAATAATTTAACTGTTCATTTTGCACAAGCTGTCACATCTTATACTTTTCTTTTTTTTTTAAATATATATATGTACAACCCTTATAACACATTAACCAAACTAGAATAACAAAACTAATATCATGTATATTACCATAATTTGATGTTTTTAAACCTGAAACACAAAATTGTAATAACACTATTAATAATTCAAGTAATCATATTGTGAAACCAGTAGGTTTAAAACAATGTGAACATCACCGAAAGCAATTGTCATTAATGTTGCCAATATTGATAATAGAAAGGAAGAGAAAAGGATAATGATGTGTAGGATAAGTGAAAAAGGGTGTCATATGCGAAATAACTAACTAATAACCTTTAAGAATGTTTATTTTGTTCAATGCTTTTCAACTATACATGTTATACAGATTTTCTGGAAATGCGCTTTCTCTCTCTCACTCTCACTCTCTCACTATTAATTATAATTGATAAACATCAGTTCCGCATGAATCTACAATAAAATTTTTCCTAGTAACTAATATCTGGGTGGTTCCTTCATCTTGATTACTTCTTACAATAAACATAATACTTTGTAATTGAAAAAATATATTGCTATATTATATGCTAGACTATAAAGATCTGGTGACTTAAATAATTTCTGTTTCTCTTTTTTTCTCCTTCATTTTCCTAATTGATTTTATTAGAATATCAACAAGGATGAAGTTAATGTTTAAACTGCTTAAAATCAAATATTCTGTGTAATATCTACGAGTTCACAAATGCATGAATACAACGTTCAAACTTGCATACCTTAGTAAAAATAAAAAGTACATTATGCGCTGGGCAGCGCACTAAGTAACTTACATGTATGCATCTCTATCATGATGGGATAAACGCAACATTCTTCCCACTGTTTTACAGTTAATGAAGATAGTGAATATAGAATATGTTACATATATATATATTTCCATGAATAAAATTGAAAAAAGAACTAAGGACAAAATATAAATAGAGTACAGGTAGAATGAAATGCTACAAATTTAATTAACAGAGGAGCTTCTGTAAATAAATGTTACTAAAAAAGGGGTCATTGCTTGGGCATGCATACATACAATAATTCTCTTTGATATATCTGCATATTGCTCGCATGAGTTAAAAATTCGCCATTAAAGTACATCATAGTGAGAATTACTTTACATGCATGCATAGATATGTTTATCATAGATTTGATGTCACCTTTACAATACAAATTATACAAGAAAAAACACTTAGGCAGTATATTTACTATAAATGCTAAATATTTAGAAATTCCATTGCAAAAAATTATTTTGTAAGAGTATATTGTATATAAGGATGTTTTTTATCATCAGTCAGATTTTGTTGAACTTTATAAATATGTATAACAATGAAAAATAGTATAATTGGAAATCATAATATTTGTATTTGGCAAATTAAAGGCTGTTCTTCATACATCTGTTTTTTTCAAATGTTCAATACCACTCTTATTAAGAAAGAGCATATAGTTACCTACCTGTAATTATATTATTACTATCTTAAAGAAGACAATTGATAAACATATTTTTATTTCTAATAACAATAAAAATAGCTTAAATACTTATAATATCAAAACTTAAAAATGAAATTATCATTTGCATGATTATAACAATTCCTGCAATATTAGAAAAATAAAATCTTACTATAAAGACAAACTATTGAACAATACATATGTTATAATCGTCAAGAGAAAAGGAGGGTAAGAAAAATGGGCAGAGTGAGAGAGAAAGAATTTAACACAGAAACAAAGTAGTATTAAAAACTGTCATTAATCGATTAAAAATATAACTCAACTGTAATCAGTAATAAAATATATATATAGGTATATTACAAAACACAAGTCTTGAATAAAAAGCGATAATAACTCCAGAAATATTTCTGCTTTTTTCAAACACACATTTAACTGTTAAAAATATATTTTCATTTTTGTATCCCCTTTATTTTAATTTTACTTTCATTATTTAAATGATCATTTATTAAGTTTTTACTGTATTCCATCGCGATCGACATATATTTGCACTTTAATGAAAAGTTACTACTGCCAAGTTAGAGCCATAAAATCGAAAACAACAAAAGACGATTTCGTGTAGAGAAATGTCAACAAATTGTCACGGTGCATAGTGTGCATAGTGAACGTGAATTAATAAGAGTAATTCTTGCTCGGTAACATCTATACGTACGTATTATGTATGACATACATATTGACGAAGAGAAGTGCACCCATCGTCCTCGGGTGAAAATGTCGGATAGAAAGAAACGACGTTGTTAGAGGAACGACGTCATGTCACGTTAAATCCACAGTATATACCGGATCAATAGAACGTATCATTCGTAAAAAATATCGTAGATAGCGCCAAAGTGTGGCACGTATCGAAAGAATGGCAGAAAATATTAAGAAGCAATAATAATTCGAAAACTTACCTGATAAACGGCCGCCTTGGGTAAATCGAGACAAACTGCGCAGCAGAGGATGCCGCCCAAACGGTGTTCCAACTTTTGTTCGGTTTTCCCATCGTTCCGTGACAGTTTGCGACGCTTTTTATCAGGCTCAAGGAAGTCCTCGATTTTTTCGAGATCGTCGCGAATCGGGGTGGCCGACGGGGCCTGCTCCGAAACGCTACTCGACGATGCAGCCTCGTTGTTCGGATCCGCCATATTGATTGTTTTGATTTTTCCTCCGAATGAGCGTGAGAAATGCGCAGATGTCAAACGCAGACCACGCAATAATCTCCTAGATAGAGACAACACCGATCCGATACTCGTAAGAAACGTAATGAAATCGGTCGATGTATTATTCAAGGTTAAAAGCCAATACATGTGAAAATTTTCGTGACATTCGACTATTTTACGAATTATTTTTAGCAAGATAGAAAATAATAGTCTTGTTGTTAGTAGAAGGGAGCCCGCTAAGAAGAATGGTATTGATAGACTGTTTCTTTGAGACTTTGTTACCATTTGTCATTGTTTCGACTGTTGTCAAATATGATTTTTCGAAACTTATCGTCTGACCCTTTTATCATAAAATGAGAATTCAATTCGATTTTAGGATTACTACGTATCCTTCGGATGTGAATTTAGTTGACGTTTCGAATATTTGAAAATTAGAAAATCGCTCGTATCGAAAGGGTCTCGAGTCAACCTTCAGTTAATTTTCTTTCAGCGATTTTGAATGATTAAAAGTCTTTATTAAAATGTCATAGCTCGATAATTAAAAAACATGGATCAACTACGTGATACAAATTCAATTTGAACAGTCAAATACGCATGTCAGTTATACGCGAAGTCATGAAGATACAAATTCGAAATTTTCTAAGCTAATTAAATATTTTCATTATACGTATTTATCTACATAGAATTATCAATGAGGTACATAATAATGAAAAGTTTATTTCTTTTTTTTAGTCGAAAAATTACATAAATGAAATCCAAAGATCCAGAAGAGTAGCTAGCCATCTTTTTGTAAGTCATGAATTTCATTATTTAATTTTAAATCACATACGACGAGGTAAATACTGTTCATAAAATAAGATAAGTAAAAGATAAAAAAATATTAAGTTTTATAAAAACCATTATAAACAATAATGAATATACTAGTAGATTTGATGAACGAGTTAGGTAGAGGTAAACATTCCAGCTAAGATTCACTGAAGGGAAAGAAGCTTGTTTTATTAACGAATTTTGGATGCATCTCCTTAGTTCTTTTTTAATATCTAATAAAGAGCAGTATTTATTCAAACATTTCATTATTTGATGGAATTTCATAATAGAAATGCTATAAACTTCTCGAACAATCTGATATAAACTAGCAACAGGAAATAGAGAAAAGAACAGTATAATTGAATCTGAATAATCAATTCTTTATTCACATATCGACGTATTGTCGTTTATACGCGTTGTTTTTCTCTTTATACATTCATACCAATTTCATACAACTTTCTCACGCGATTCGTCATTATTATTCCTTTTTTACCTTCCATTTCCACCTATGGATAGGTTATTTCGTTCTTCGCTAAACTGAACGAACACTCGTTTAGATACGCTATATTCACAATTGCTACAGTCCACCAAAAATGGCTACGCGCGTAAAATCATTATACAACATACAAACGCAGAGAAAAGTCGAAACTTAGCGTGTATCACCTCTTACATAACACAAATGGGTTTAGAGTGCGTTTAAAATATAATAACGCTAATTACAAACTGTTTACGGATTACAGTACATTTACATTGTCTCATACAAGGTGATCCATTAAATTGCACGTAGTTGAACGTACCTTACAAAATACGTTTGAAAGAAATCAAGATGGACGGTAAAACATTAGATATAGTGGCTCACGAGAGGTATTTGTACATTTATAGAAATATTTGATGTATTATGATGTATTTATGTTATGTGTATTATACAAAACATTTTGAATATAATCATGATAGTTGGATCTCATTGCAGTGATGATGAGATATCAAAATGTTTTATAATACACATAATATGTACATAAAAATATTTTGTGATGAATGTTCAAATATCTTCACAAGCCATTGTATGTAGATTAAAATATAAAAATGTTAAGACTCTTTCAAGATACTGTTTAAAAAATCTAAATGGCCTTAAAATATTCTTCCCATATATCTACTTATTTACTTTAAGAATAGTTTAACATCATCTGTAAGTTCCTTTTCTTAAAAATAAAATTAAAAATGATAAAAATGGTCACCCTGTACAGGAAAATAAATAAACATAAAAGTACAACATTACCATTTTGTTATACTTTTTTGTTTAGGTTGAATAAAAACCCTACACAATGCGTTTTGTTCACTATATACTGGCTAAACAAACTTTCTGGTGACAGTACACCACCACCGTACACTTCCACCATACTTTTAGTTTTGAACACTCTACAATATGTCATTACTAAAAAGATGAATAATCTATGAATAACCGAAAACAAAATCAATCGTTAACGTGTAGAATGTTCGCAGATTGTTGAATCTCTCTAACATTTGGCAAATCGATAGACTATGCTGCGCTATAAATAGTAGAAGAGTAGAAAACTTTATTGCGAATTAGTGGACATCGTAGTATGGATATACGCCTTCTAAATTTTTTATTTTTTTTTTTTTTTTGGCTTATTTTCGTTTTATTCCTCCTTTTTGTTTCCTCGTCTATGTTTTGTAACGCAAGAACAAGTGTAAACGCTCTTTGTACTTTTTCGATGGTGTATCTGAATAAATTCAGGTAGCCGCATTACAGGCCGTGGCGTGCTTTAAAAATTGGCATTTGTCACACGGTATTCGACCTGGACAGTACGTACTAGACGATTCAACGTATATCTTATTGCTCGTTTATAAATAGCTCTCAGTTTTCAGACATTATCTTTTTTTTTCTTCTCCTTCTTTTATTCAACAGGATAATCCACTTAAATATTCTCGTAGATCATTCTGTGCACACTTAGGGACAGAGACAAAGAGAGATCACATGATTCAGGTCATAAGTATTTACCTCTCTATATACATGGAATTTCTCAACGTACTTAATTTATTTAATATTTACACATACACACGCGCAATGTCTCCTTATGTTCTTCCTAGGAAACAGCTGATTCGCTTTTGCTATCGTACAAGATGAAAGTTTGCTCGAACATCACCATATTATAAATTCCTCTAGAAACATTTTACGGATCTGACCTCAAGCGTTTCGACGGCGCCTCATTTGATACTGAAAAATAAAAAGAATTTGTTTAATGTTTGTTAGTTTATTATTATATTCCACTAAGATCCATGTATGGAGACTTTATCAATTCTATTATTACCTAGGAATTCGAAAATTTATTCATTATTTTTCGAGACTGGAAAATTTTGCCATTATACTTTTCTTTCAATAATCGTTTATGTCAATATCCTACAAAATTTTGCAAATTTTTTACAATATTGTGAAAATGTAACATTCTACAATAAGTAAAACTAAAATTAGAATGAAAGAAATGTGTTTATTACATGTGAATTTCCCATAAATAGGATACATAGGAACACGGGTACATATATACGTCTAACAGGGAAATCAAATATTTGTTGTTTCGTCTGCACGAGCAGACGTTTGCTTTTCAAGTCAAGGTCTAAGACGGTTGAACGAAAGAACTCACCTAACACACTGCGATCTTGTTCCGTGGTCGCGACGTCACCGATCGACTCCTCCAAAATCTTCGTCTTGATCAGCCTTTGGGTCTGGATATCCGGTATCGCCGCCAATATCAAGCTCGTTGAATTTTTTAAACTATCGTACGATTGTTCTAATTGCTTCATTTTCTTGCTAATTTCGTCGTTAGCTGTGTGAATTTCTTTCACCTACGAAATTTATAAATTTATAAAAAGATACAAATATTTTCTCCAAAAAAATAATCTTTAATAAAGAATCTCTCTGCAAAAGTTATCTGACAAGTTATACTAGGTAATTATTTTTTAGATCATATGGAACGTAAACGTACTTGAGTATCCAGTTCCTTAACAGATTGTAGTATGGTAGTCTTCACACACTCTCTTTCTAAGGATATCACCTTCATGCTAACATTTTGAGTGGTTTCCTGAAGCAATACCAGTTTGTCCTGCGAAACATATCACATTTTTCAATCAGTGAGCACATCACAACTTTCATCTTTTATAAATTCTCAAACATTTACATGATCTTTCTTCTGATCTTCTGCCACCCATTGCACAGCTCTTGACAATGTTTCATTGATGTCCATCAATTTATCAGATAAATGTACGATTGTCGCATTCAATTGTTCAGTCTTTATCTTTGTCTCATTTGTAATCAATATCTGAGGCTTTTGTGTAATATTTGACAATTCTGTCACTGTGTTCTATAATAAAAAGAAATGAAAAATAATTTTTTAAATTCTACTCTTGATATAGAAGTAGATTGCAAGTAGACCAGATTTTTATGCATTTATGGAAAATTTTAATGAGAAAAGTTTGATTATGAACCTTGATACTGGTAACATTCTGTTGTATTGTTGTTTGGACATCTTGTATCCTAGCATTTGATTCTTTCAATGTTGTTACTGTGCTACTCAGATCTTGTATTTGGCTCCCAAATGACACCACACTACTGGAAAGGTCCTTCAAATCTCCTTGCACTTTAAATAATGCTGGGCCCTCATTGAACCAACCTTTTGCATGATGCATAATACGTTGAATAAGTGCTAGCTGTAAATAAATTTTCGTGTAAAAATAAATCACTTATTATACCATATAGCATATTAATAATTTTTCTATGTAAATTAAGAATATTTAATATATTTATTAATGAAAAATTAGTAATCATTATTGAATATCATTTTTTTTTATTTCCAAGAAAAAAATTTTTATGTTAAGAAATTACGCTTAAAAAATTCGAACATCATGAAATTACCTGCGTTGTAAAATTACTGATTTGAAGCTTGAGATCTGATAAATGAGTGAAGATAATGCTCTGGTTATTCTGAAGATCTCTCGACAGAGAGTGACATTTTTGCAGGGCATCGGGAACACCTTCGCTACCGGCTATAACTGCAATGTAAACGATATCTTGTTTTCTCTTTTTTCTCGTTTCGATACGAGTATTTATACGTGATACAATAATTCCAGAATCGATAAGATCTTATCGAATATTTTAACCAGAAACAAACAGGTACGATGAGTAAACATTATCGAATCGTAATCTATTTGTTTCCTATTGAAATCAGTCTTAAAGACATAATCCGGCCTGTGAGGATTAAAATAAATAAACTTCATCAAATACTTGAAATATCATCATTGATTACGAATTTATATTCATTGCGAAAACAAATAAAACAATGTTTAAAGTCGAGTTGTAATAAGAATACTTGAATAATAAGAAACTTCCGAAAATTCTTAGTTGGACGTAGGTGATATCGAAATAATTTAATATGTATTTATTTGAAGTAGATAAATATTGATACCAACTTAAAATTTTTTGGTACTCCAACAACTCTGATATCAACTTTAAAATATCTCGGTATTCGAATATCGGATTTATGTTGACTTAAGAATTACTTTTCTTCATGTGCATCGCAATTATCCTCAAAGACCTGACAGAGAATAGTTGGAATAATTTCTACCAATCAACACCAAGTACATAATCCAATATTTGTCAGCATATCGGACTGACGATCTCGCTTGGTTAAGCATATTACTATGCGACCATGATCCTCGCACTATAAGCGAATTACGTACTTAGCTTCATATTAACAGCCTTATTTTATAAATACCTTTGAGCCACAAATTAACATAATCTGCTAAAAAGGAAACTAAAGTAAAAGAAATATAAAAATGAAAGAAGAGAAAAAAAGTTACAAGACGCATTTCTATTCTGGAACTCGATTATATGGGGATCGATTCACGTAACAACGTGATTGGATTTATGAAAAAAATAAAAATAAAACGAAAGATAAAAGAAGTGTTCTTGACTTTCAAGCGAAAAGAATTTAATTAAACTCTTCACCTTGAATTCTTTCCCTTTTCAATTAAAGTTTTTCTTAATTTCTCGAATTTCTATTATTATTGAATCAATTACTGTATTACTCAATCTGTATTATTGGATCGTAAGTGACTCGTATAACAGTTTGGGTAGAGTTATATAATTTAAGAATAATCTATTTTAACCCCTTAGTTTGTGTCATTGGATTATAGATGATTATAGTAGTTTAAATTAGATTTAAGCGAGGGTAATTAATTTGAATTAATTTTACGACATTTAATTCTAATTTAAATTCTATATCTTACTTGATGGATTTCATTAACAATTTTCATGATGTAAAATACAAAATATAAATTACAATTACATTACTCTAACCGACCTAATTGATAAGCGTATAAAATTAATTTGAATGATGGATCTATGAAAGAACTTTTCTTTCGTATTTATTACATAAAATAGATAAATGTGTGAATTATATTATAAAACAAGTTTTTTTTTGGCTGTGAAGCCGAAGTAAAGAAATATATATATATATATATATATATATATATAAATAATATAAATTAAGATTAAGTACCTACTCCAACTTTATGTAAACTGTTAACTTAATTTTAGATTTGAATTAAAATAAAATATCTTTTTTCAGGTATTTAATTTTTAATTTGTAGTCTGTGTTTTATGTAATAAGGATTATGAATCGTGTTTATTATGCAAAATATAGAATCTAAATTAAAACGAAATACCCTATACATACGTAAATCCTTAATTCAATTCTAACTTGGATCTAAAATAAAGTATTTCTTTTTTTAGAAGTTTCTCTGGTGAGCGTTCTTCAAAGATGCAATATACCTTGGTCCAGTTCGGTCCGTAGAGCAGTAAGTTGCTGACGAACGTCGATGAACAGCCAAATTAAACTAGCGGTTGCTAATACAGAGGCACAAGCCAGAAAGGCACTACAAGCTTTAAAAAATCCAGGACAAGCTCGACTTCGTCTGCCTCTGCATTTGCGGCCATTTCTAGTCGATATATTCCAGTATTCCGACCGTTCGTCGCTGCTATCTGATAGTAACTCCTAGAAATTGTTAGGATGATCAGTCCCAGTCTGTCTTTTCCAAGCCTTTTTCCTTGACGTTTATTTCTTACAAAATTTCCTCATATTTATACTATTCCAAAATGTCTCTATAATTTTTTAAGTAATTTATTCATTTATTTTGTAATCTGTTTTTAATTTAATTTTGTTTTTCTTTTAAGCCTGTTTATTTCAAATGTTGGGAAGTTACAATACATATCTGTTCTTTGAGATGGAAATATTTCTTCCAATGTTTCATGATCAAAGCAAGATGTTACTAAATTTGTTACTAAAATAAAATGTTAGGTTCGTAATCCAGATATTGTTAAATTTTGTTCTTTTTTATGATAGTTTTCAAGATAATGTCATTCCTCTTCCATTCAGGATTTAAAGTAAATATAATAATTAAATATTTGTTTTAGGTACCATTTGTTATTCCAACTGCCCAAATAAGAAAATAACCTTCTGAAAGAATGATAGACGTATCGTGGTCAATCAAAAGGTCAATTGAGTTGAATAAGATAATATGAATAAGAAAATATATAGCTATAACATATACGCATTGCATACAGTTGTATAAGATGCAATTTATAGTCGTTTTAGATTGATTGTTGAAAAGAAAATTAAAAAACAAAATTTACGATTATTTAATTTTATACAGAAAAAGAAGCAACAAAAAGGATGAATGAATCAAGATGAATACTTAGAGTATTGAGTACTTAGAACAATTATTCGCATAATTTTAACAAGATTAAACATTTGATATTTAGTATTATACATAAAGTAGCAAAGAAAAGCCAATTAGAAGCAAACAGAATAAAGGTGAAACAGCCAGGAAATGTGCCAATTAGATAAAATCCTGTACTACTTGTCTATAAACTCTAATCCTCTTGTCTAATCCTCTTACATATAAGTCTCTTATCCATTCTCTGCTTACTGTTAGTACAAACTTTTCCACGAAACAACATTTCATACATTATTAATACCACCTATGGTCCATATAATATTATACCCAATGTAAATATTATTGATGTTATATTATATATTATTATTGATGTATATTATCATACATATTATTATTACACATACATTTCATAATTGTTTCATACATTTCACATTTTACAAATTAATGAAATCGTGAATATTCTGTATTCCCATTGAGAACATTTCCAATTCCAGTTTGGTAAAATTTCAGATTTATCCAGAAATTCTCACTAAGTATCACTTGCTATACCTTAAGTAGCCATCTTATTCGCAGTTTATCCAAAACATAAAATATTATATAAGTATTTATATTTGTTTTTATTAATTGTTATAAACTACTTAAAATAAGAAATTATATAAGCAATACATATTTCCATTTCAAGTTTCAAAATTTTATATTTGTTCCAAAACTTTCGTCGGTCTAATTAGCTATTTTCTGATGATTCAATCAAAGCGCAAAATAATTTATGAATATGTTTTAACTTTAAAGAAATGTCAAGTGTTATAGATTTAAGAAATTTAAAGAACGAAATTTTAGAAGGTATTTTATTCTTATCAGAAAACGCCTCTAGCATTTAAACACAAATACAATTCTCAATTTAAAAAACATTTTCCTAAAAAGGCTTCAATGTTTACAAGAAGGTTTACAAACGGTAATCACTTTATAAAGAATATTTCATTCTTATTAAAAATCATCTTATTACCTAAACGCATATACAAGTCTTCGATTTCAAAATACATTTCCTTTGAAAATCTACATTTTTACAAATTCGGAAAATTTTACAAAGGATTCCATCTCGTTTCAGAGAACATTTTTGATCACGGTCAATCGATACGTACTTGAGAGCTACGTTTTCCGGAACTCCGGCGGGAAACAATGTGCGGAGGCGCCAAGGCATCGAGCTCCTTCCGTTTCTTCATCTTCTTCGTCGGCTGACGAAGGGGCACTGTCACCGCCACTGAGTCCATCTCAAGCAACACCGAACCGCCTATCTTCGTTTCGTTTCACGCGAGCTTGTCGCGCACGAGAAGACCTTTCTTTCTTTTCTTTCTTTATTTCTCTATACTTCTTTATCAACCTTTGCACGATGCACACACGTTGATAATCGTTCGCAGCAGGTTCATTTCCGTGCTTAAAATCCGGTCGCGTTTTCACCGTTTCAAACTACGAGAACGCGACGATCTATAATTCACAGCTCTGTGATCGCATTTTTCCGATCCTATCGTTGCGGCGAATAGAATATTCATTGGTATCGCATCGCGTGATCATTTCCTCTAAAAACAGTTGAGTTTGCACATCAAGATGTATGTTTCGACCCGTTTCATTTTTTTTGTTTGAAATATTGTATCGTATTTTTATAATGGAACAGTTTTATGAGAAACGACTAGAGTGAATTTTAAAAATTTGGAAAAACTAGACAATAGCGTAATAGCTTCTTTTAACTCTGAGTATTTAGCATTCTCATCATATGTCCTATGACTGTGAATTCATTAATTATTTAATAATTTACAATTATCTAAATGTATGTTTGTTAAAACTAAGAGAATTGTACAGTGTATTTGCAAATATTCTCAATTTTTCAATTATTGAGAAATTCGTTTACCGTACAGACCATCTTAGCCTTTCCAAAATTCGTATTCCTAGATTTTTCTCAATATCTGGATATCCAAACACTCTTGGAAAGATTCTATATTCCCACTTCTTTTTTCAGCTCCTCTATTGTTCAAAAATTCTTTCATCGGGAGAACAATCGATCATAGTCAAGCTCCTAAAAATCTGTCAACGATTTCTTCAGCATACCCCCGTATCGCAATATCGATCGATCGATCGGGGTGCTACAACAGCAAGGGATCGGCCCTCGAGTGGTACGAAAAGAGGTCAGGAGGAACAAAAGCACACCAGAAAGGCGACGGCAAACAGAACCTCGACTAGCTAAGAAAAAACGAGGAACAGCAAGAAAGAAGGAAGGAGAAACGAAAAAAAAAGAAAGGAAGAACATAAAAAATGGGCACAAGGTACGATAACGTGACCACGATGATTGTAAACAATTTAAGTGTATCAGTCGAAATCGTTCAAGGTAGTCGACTCGTTAGATAAGGAAACTCGAATAAAGCACTTGAACGTATGTACATTTTACATATGCGTTGTTAGCAACGCAACACTATCAAGTGAAGGACTATCGAATTTTAGCAAGTTGAATTTTACACATCCTCCAATATGAATTTTAAAATTCAATGCGAGATAAAATAATCTAAAATAATTTACATTTTTATGTAGATTATGTATAGTTCAAGTAGTTTGCAATTTTTTGTTGTTAAAATGTTTGTAATTACTAGTAGCTGCTTATAAATGTGCCTTAATACTGATTTATTAAAAAAAATTGAAACTGTAATTAAAGTAAAGTATGAATTTTAATCGTACAAGATGTGATGCAGAATTAATATATGTGCATTATAAATTGATGTTTATATTTACATAGATTATGAGTATACCTTAAGTATAATGCAACTGATATCTATAGCACGTAACATAACATTGACATAACATTGCCTAAAGCAAAGTATAAAATCACAATTTTATGAATACGTTATTTTATCTTACGGGCACTTTTTTCCCCGGTTGTAAAGATAAAAAATCTTCGTTTAAACGAATTCAATAATTCTAGAGATAATTGAAGTTAAACTATGGCTACAACGACGCCATAACACCAAGCACTCCAACTCCTCAACCCACGAGCATCGACCGGAAGCCGCCAGTGGAACTAAACCAGATGGAAGGAAACTTATGATAAAACTCGAAGAATTCCTGAATCATATTCCACCGAATCGTATCTTCCTATTGTTAAAAAATTTTTTTAATTTGTAAAAAATATGAAAGAATCATTATTACGATACACGCATCAATTGTGTGCCAAAGACTTTCTTAAAACACGAGTCTTTTTCTAGGTTGAAACTAAAATAAGATTATGACATAACAAATTCAAAACGAAACTCAATAGAATACTAAAAAAACCTCTGTCAATTGAAAAGGACATTGTAAATCTTACACTATGAATCGTCACTATTTGTTTACTTGTAGATATATCGTCGTCGTCGTATTACGAAACTCAGTATTCGCAATTGATCACTGTCATAGACAAGGAGAAAAACACGAAGAAAGGCGTGATGGAACAAGAGGAATCGCGTCACGAACCGAACATCGCCACGAAACGTTTCATACTGCGGGTTCTCTTATCATCGTCTGCCCGTCGTACCTGACAACGTATACAGGTAACATCCGTACGAATACACTACCACATGAATGAACATCGTTCTGAGTACATATTTGTGCAGGTATATACATTCATACAAAAGCAAATTGAACGCGCGTGATCGTGTATCTAGCGAGAAAGAATGGAGAACAATGGACCAGATGTGGTTGTCGTCGAGTTATGATGGTTATTTTACTGTTATAGTAAGGAAACTTTTTAATTGTAAAAAGCTGCTTGTAATTGGATGTGTTGATTTGTATCGACTGCGTTATAATTAATGTTCTGAAAATGGAATTTTTGTTTTGGATGATAATCCAGTCGATCGCTCGTTTGTTTTTAAAAGTATGTTTGACGAATGTGAGGAAGTTGAAGTATATTTAGTTTTTAATCTATACTTTTGTTTAGAAACAACAATTGAAAACATGTATTTATACTTTTTATCTTTATTTTAGCCTTTATTTCCGCAAATGAATAACTTGTTCCTAGAAAACTTTTAAATTGTATGACATTACAGGGGGTCAAGTCAAGACCTTGCTATAATATGGAAATCGTTACAGATGTCACAGTTGTTATACATATGCAGAGAGTTATAAACGTATTAACCTTCAATCGATCACAACTTCGCTTAGAGAAGCGTAAGTTATTAAATTATTAATAAAAGTTATTACAAATTACTAAATCGTAGAATATTTAATTTTACACATATTGTAGCTTTTATTTCATTAATTGTATATTTTCGTTGCATTAAATATATAATATAAAATAAAAATACATGTAAGAGAAAATATGTCGAATTAGAAAGCTATTAGTGTCATCAATGATCCAAAGATGATAGAAAGTTAGTAAAATACAACACTGCAATAATAAGCAAGCGAGAAATAAGCTTTATAAAATATATGAATACGTATTTGTAAGTAAAAAAAAACTTCAAGAAAATAAATAAAAATAATACGTATTACGTTATACTCCCAGTAATCTACTTCATAAATATTTCATACAAAATAGGTTGGACTTGGTGGAAAAAATATCCTAACGATTCTATTTACATAAAAAACTGGAAATAAATTAAACTTAATCACCTACACAACCTATTAACTGGTAGACCTGGATGGAAAAATGGAAAATTAATTTTCCATGAAGACATGAAGTTGAAAAAATATTCTTATCTTATATTGGTTGGAAGTTTAGATAATAGCGATTGGTATCCGACTCTAATTAACTGTAAGTACTTCTCACATATTAGAATATGGGTTTAATAAACGTTTTATGACGCCATTAGATTTCTCCACTGTGCACCTTATCTACAAATTGGACAATAAAACAAGGGAGCGAAAGACAAATGATTCGGTACATGTTTGGAATGTTTCTGAGCAGAAATTGACGCTTCTGAGATTAAGATAAGGGAAAACTAAGTATTCAATAAAAATTTGTTCGGATCTCTATAATTCCATGTGATTTAAAAGTTTCATACTTTTGCATCTATATTCTACTATTTTCTACATTTTTATCATTATATCATTGAATTTCAAGCGGGCAATTTATTTGTAGCACTTGTAAATTGCTATGTATTTTCTTTGTGGAAATAAAAGACATAATCAACAGTATCTTTTTTCTTGCAGTAAGCAAGGAGACGTCTGGATACAGAGGAATGCAAAAGCATGGAAGATAGAGAAACAACAAACGGGATGAAAAAAGAACATATAAAAAATATAGAACTTTGATATTGCAAGAGTGAAAAATCTCGAGTAAAGAATGGAATTTCAAAAGAAATCATGAAAAAAAACAACAAAAAACGAGATATTATAATTTTTAATCAAGTAAGAAGTAAAAAAATAAAAAAAGATATACTTCACAAGAATATGTAATCTTGAACAAATGAAAGCTCCATAAAAGGAACAAAACTTCGATAGAACTATAATTAATGTGGTATAGAATGTTCAATGATTTCGCCTAAAAAAATAAAATCCTCACGAATGAATGTCTTTGACTATTCAAACATCACATTTTTCTCAAGAACAACTTATTCCATTCGGAAATAGAATTCTCTTTAAAAAAAGAGAGAAAAAGAAGGGGATACTATAAAAATAGAAATTCTGTCATAGAGAAATTATAGAAAAAATATTGGATCAAAAATAAAACTATAAAAAAATAATAGAATACTTATATTTAGAGCGTCTCGGTAATGGTAACATTGAAAAGAACTACAGAAATAAAAACTTTTTAAAGTAGATTGTAATAATAAAACTCTTATATTTAAAGTATCTTACTAATCGTGGTACAATTGTAAAAGACTTTGTAAGATTAGTCCTTTCTCCAACGAGAAATTATAGGATTCTTAAAAGCAATAATGCTGAGCAAAAAATGGATATCTCTACTAATATCCAAAATGACCCTGATTTTATACACCTCCTTAGAAGTCTCCAATTTCGCGACAGCCGAGCACGCATGACTTCACGGTAACATGCAACGAGCGACACAAATATCATCGCGGTACTCGCGATTAGCAGCGATCGACAACGCCACTTAATCGCGTTGCGCCGCTTCCATCTCAGATTACGTTTGCACAACAGTGCAAAACATCCAAATGAAAAATCGAACGTTTCATTGGTTTCTATCCAACTTTTTTGTTCTTTATTCTTTATTTTTTCTCCCTCCATCGATCGAAGAGGAATTTTCTTTATGATATTGTTCAATTTCGAGTAAACCTTACAATATATTATTCTAGGCTAGACTAAGAATATATTATCAATTAAAAATCCATTAGGATAATTGATCCGGGACGATAAACTCGATTTTTTGGATAATTATGCATCTATGTCGAAGTCTTTTTAAATTAGTAGTACAGTAATTGTTTCATTAATTAATAGTTTTTCTTAACTTTTAATTCTATTATCTTATCTTGCTGTAATTGATAACATTTAACGAATTTATTTGAAAGTTTTTAGAAATAGCCACTCAAAAATAATTCGTAAAAATAGTAACTAAACTGCGAATGTTCATACATTTATAGGAAAGCATATGATACGCTAAAATAAATAAAATATTCAAAGTTTGATATGTTATAATATATAGTTAATGAAACTAATTTCTTTAGTCATATATATAAAAAAATTAATTTGTAATTGGTAATGTAATAAAATTATCAATTACTATTTTAATTTCCTATGTTGCTTTAAATACTTCTCCGTTATATTTTATTCAAGACATAGAGTCATAACATACGAATTTCTGCTGTTTTTAACGCCCATATCTTATCAATTCCAGGGCTGTATCAAATAATATGTACAACCTCGTTCGAGGGAATTCTCATAAAAATTTAGAAAGTACATTTTTAAAACAGAAATTTCATCTATTCATATGCTATGTACTACTCTGAGTAATTTTAGATGGTTGTAGTTCTATTATTAATTCAATGATAATTACATTGACAGGCGATTAACCGTCTGTCAATACAATTCAATAGTCTATTTGCATCTCCTACATCTCACGACCAATTAATACAAAGTGTAGGTGATACCTTAATTATTTCATGTGATGTAATAATTCACTAAGTATCAGATTCCAAGACAGAGGAAATCGGGAAATCCGTTGGCTCAAAGTCATTTTCTTTCGTTTACAAACAGTTTTACGAAGATTCATCTTGATTTTACATCAAAACATAACCATAACCTAACCTTTGAAAGTAAATCAAAATTTTTTATAAAATTTTAGTCATTTTTATTTTTTGAAATTATAGTGATCTATTTCTTTATTGTTCAATTATTTAGAAATATTTTTGCATAATATTTTCAAATAATAACGAGAAGTATTCAATTTATATACCATTTCCAATTTTCGGTATACACGAAAGTAATTAAATCAACCTGTGGAGTAACAATTATTTTGACACGCTGTCCAAGCAAATTAAACGATTATGTTTTTGATAAAACCAATGAGGAAAATAATATAATTATTATAAATACCATTTTCATGTCTCTTATGATGGGTATAGACTTAAATAGCTTCAATTATGATTTCTGTATGAGTAAACAAAAAGAATGACAGACAAAATGACCAAAGTGCAATAGAATAAACGATCAAAGTATATTAAACAGTTCTAACATATGAAATACGGTTAATTATCGCATGTATTTATTGTGTATGCACTACTCAACGATACCAATTGAGGATTAACGCGATTTCCTTTAAGGATATGCTTTAAGTTACATCTTGTGAAAAATTAGGAAGGAGCGGATATTCTCAAGCGTGATCGCAAGTGTTACGTATCCGTCATAGTCGCGGGGGTTACTTAAGCAAATCGACTCCCTCGTATATCCACCCCTATGAGATAGACACAAGACTTTTCGTACGTCACTCTATTAAAGACACTTCTATGTGTTCGCTGAACGATTGGGAATCAATAAAAGAGGAATAGAACCCTGTACACCTGTCGACCATCGAACGTTTCAAACACCAAAAACCACGAGCACTTGGTGCATGCGGAACTTGACCTACGTCCGGTATAAATTATACATACGATTCTCTGATCGATTCACGAGTCACAAACTCCACAATACAGGAACGACAAATCGTACTAACACACGATTTATAACTTAATATACCGCTTTAATAAATTGAAGACTGTTAAATGAATCAACGAGCATTATTTGTTAAATGGAATTATTAAAGGCTACGAACGATAGAATACGAGACGAAGAACGTAGACAACGCCTCTGCTATCTCACCGCGTACCACTCGCGCTGTGCGCAAGATATCGACTGACTGGGGGTTGGTACGCGACCGTGCTCGGTCTATCCTGCTAGGTCCCTATGATAACAATTCGCGGTAATAGGGAATTTTGAATTAATACGAAGTGGAGGGAACAGAGTAAAATAGGAACGAAAGAGAAGGAAAAACAGCAACGCGCGAGATTCGTAAAAATAGAAAAATAGAGCCATTGTCAGCGATAACGCGACCGATAAGATTCGATAGATATTGATGTGTCGCAACTGTAAATGTATATTGAGAAAATGAAATCGCATATCGAATATTATCTGGATTTTGTGGCAAAATTGTAAATGAGAAAAAGAGAAATATGGCATTTTTAAATGGGACAAATGGGAAATATAAATTAAACTGAACTTGAAAACATTAAACATCACAACATTTAAATTTTACATTAAACGATCGATATTTCGATTGAAGAATAATTTTAGCGGAAGTGAATGAACCGAAACAAAAGTGTTCCTATTTATGACTATTTAGGTCTTAAACTTTCTTGTCAGATCTTTACTGTCGAATACACTGCTTTATAATGAACGCCGACGTATAAATTTACGATGCTGTTGGAAATAGCAAAAATAGACATTTGTATATTGGAAATTCAAAAATATTCCACCTATATTTCACCAAAGGAATTTTTACTCGAAAATTTCATAGTATGAATTACATTCACATGAGATAAGTATGAAGATTTTATAAATATATGCATTAGTTTGCAAGTTTTTGTTATTTTGAATCAAGCAGTAGAAATGAATATAATAAAGTTCATAAATTATAAATTAAGTCAAGTTTACTAATATTACTTTACAATAACGCTATGATTCTTTGTTTTTTTCCCAGTATCAGTTCCAGAATAAAAGCGGCATAAAGTAATTTTAATAATTATCAGTCACAATCAATCATCAGTATCAATATGAACTTGACAACACGCATAAATGAAGAATTATGTGTTTACCTGATTTTATAGAGATATCCATCCTTTTAATTTCTCCATATAAAATAACAGCCAGCCAGGACAGTGCTATCAACCAAAATGTAATTAGGACTGCTGCCAACCACAATGATATGATCCTCATATCAGACTTGCTACATCCACAAGAATCAGACTGCTTCATTTTTGCTGTGGCACTTGACCGATGTTTCCTGTAACATGTTATTATATTTTACACATAATTTACATACTTAGAACTTCAAATTTAATTGAAAGCTTACATATAGGTTTGAAAAACGCGCGTTTTTTCTTACCGTTTAACTTTCTTCTTTCTAGGTGTAAGATCCAAGTCCGATATATCGGAATCACTTTCCGATAACAGATCAAGGAGATTTATGGTTTCTTTGTTGTTCGAATTCTTCATTGTGATCGGAGAATCATAGCACGGGTCATGAAGTTAACAGACGGACGTGAAATCGTATTGACGGCCAGTTCAATAACATAACCTCCCTAATCAAGATGTTAGTCATCAAGGAACCTACTTTAGCTAGTAGCTATCTAATATTCACTCTGATTACTTCGACTATATATTACGCAACATGACTTTAGAGCTATTTCTGATTCTCACATATTATTGCTTTGGTACGGTTGCGATCAAACGATCCATCCTCATGCATCTTTCACGATATAACCTACATATATACTACATAACTCGCGCATTCTACTACGCAAGCACGTTTTCTTTTTGTACCATTCTGACATCTGGCGGGTAAAGAAGTAGATACAGAAAAAGTGCATTTGATGCACAATTTATTGCAATTAAATTTATTGTGTCAGATCAGTTCTATTTTGCATACATTTATTATTTACGCAATTCGTAAATAATTTTTTATTTACTTTATAGTTTAAATTACGCAATATTATCAATTTGTAAAATGCGTATTAACTATGTTTATTAACTGTGATTTTAAAATAATGCCTAATTTAATCAATTATCGATTAATTTTAATAGATTATAATTTATAAAATTAACAAGGTTCATTTTCAAATAATTTAATTTGCAGCTTAATTAGAAAATATTGCATTTCTTATATTCTTGCTATAATTATGAAGAATTATATCCTTATTTAATTTATTTTTTATATATTTTATACAATTTACATGAAACTGATAAAGTTGTCAGAAATTTTTATTACAATTATAATTATTTTTTTTCAGTTGGGAAAATAATGGTTTCAATTGCTGTTTAATTAGCCTCAAATCTTCGTTTGGTGATAAGCCCTAATAATCTACAAATTTGTTGTCAGAATTACTGTAAATAATAACTACAAAAAATAACCAAAAATACTGAAGTAATAATACAATAATTATCTTTGTTTCAGTTAAAAACAAGAGAACGTAAAACAATTTATAGCCTCGTGGCGATGGAAAAACAAACCTTGACAGGTATTTCCTTTCTCTTGATTCTTTTTTAAGTATCCTTTCGTTTAGGGTTTTACTGAACACTTCAGGTTCGACACGTCGAAAGAATAGTCCTTCTAACGCATTAATTAGCGTGCACAGCACGTTACAACGCTTTCCATTGGAGACGGCATCGCATCCGGTAGAAGTTCGGTCAAAAACAATCTACGTGGATCGCATATGACTTCGCTGCAAATTTATCAAAATTTATATCGTTAATTTGATTCACTCTCGACATCCATTGACCTCGATAAATGAATCTCAACTCTTTCTATGCTTATTACCAGAAATATACTTTATTACCAGGCCAATAGAACGCATGCTATTTTTATTTAATTGGTATAAGAAAGATTAAAGTATAATTTAAAGCTTAAAATAACTAACATATACTTTTTAGAGCATATTTAAAATTAAGAATAATTAATTAGATAAAAATATAGTACAACGTTTTTAAAGATGAATTTTATAAAATTCTCAGTGATGTCATATCTTTTAAATACTTTCAACTATTTTTTCAAATCTTCAATAGTATTAGAAATTTTCTAGATATTTTTAAAGATTTTTCCCATGTATTTTTATGTGTTTAGTTGTCATTTGAGATTTATTAAATGGTTGTTGTTAAAATTAGGAGTGAAGACACGATGATTTCTTAATCCTCCCGATGGTTGAAATTTGCGTTGGTGTCTGGACGTTCGGCTGGCTGGATGTGACACAGCCGAATTTTGAAAAACATCAGCTATGCCGACATCTTGCCTTCGAGGCGCCCAGTTAATATTGTGGATACATTCTTCTCATTGAATACAAAGATTTAAACAGAACACTCAGTCACAGAACACTATAATATCTAAGGAATTTGATTGTGAGTGACCTCTTTCTTTTTTCCATAATTACTTTAAAATTTCAATATTCTAATAAAAAATTAATAAAGATTAAATTATATATTATCAAATATATAATAAAAGATTAGAAAATATGAAAATCTTAATCCTGTGTGTATGTGTGTGCGTGTGTGTAGATTACTAAACGCTGCATGCTTTTATGAACAAGATTTAAGAAAGAAAACCTACTGATTATTACGAATGCTGTACTTTGATATTTTGTACGCCTCTACATATTATGTTTCAACTTTAAATTAACGATCTACTAAATATTTGCTAAAAATAATCTTAAATGTAAAGTATATTTTCTCCAATTACTAATTATTTACTTATCATTTTATTAACTATAAACTACTAATTAATATAACTAAGAACAATCTACAAAATTAATAATTACAAACATAAAGTATATCTTCTTTCATCTTCTACAATAATATCCAGCAAACTCCAATTTTGCCCTAAAAAAATCTAAGATACTATTTAATTAATTAATTTAACCAGAAACAATCTCAAGCAAAAAGTATATCTTCTCCAATCTCCTAACACAATATCCACCAACTCACACTCTTCCTTATAGCATAGGATTGAAACCAAACAAAATCAAGCTAGAAATCATCAAAACTTACCAAAAATAGTCTTACCTTAACAAAATAACCAAGAAGACCAATTCCCAAACAAGGAAAATACAATATTCTCCATAATTGTGTTTTTTTTCTTCAGGTGTGATCTTGATTTTATCCCTCCTGGATAGTCCATGAAGAGGATGAGCAGTAGAAAGTACAGTCGACGCGTTATTCGAAAGAGACACCTGCACGAGGCTGGAGACTCGCCAAATAACTGATAGCGTGGGCGTCGCGACTTCGAAGACGACGTCGAACGACCAAAGTCGAGAGGGGGTGAAGCTTCCCCGTTCTTCTTGTTCCATTGGTCAGGAACCGATTGTGCGATTCGTGTCTTCCTCCTCTCCGTCTTCTGTTCTTACCGATCGTCCCTATCGCTGGTATTGACGAGTCACCACCTTCCGGTCGACAAGGCGTTAATGAAAATCTTTTCTAGGAGGCAAGCTGCGAATTGTTGCACCGGTAGAGTCGTCATCAGTTGCTCTGATTTGGAGAGGAAGATTCATGATATCATGATACCATGATGATGAAAACCTACGATGAGATTTAAGATTCACTTGTGACAGATAAACTATTAATGCACTCAAAGAAAGTAAGAAATTACAATTTCTACAAATTAGAATTAATACGAATTTTAGCGGGTGGTTTTATGATGACGAGACGCAATGTATATTCAGTATTAATAAGATTTTTATTAATGGATTGCGGATATTTATGCATATTTATATTTTTATGAATACAATTAAACTGGAATTTATGTAGAAAATTTTTTCTTTCGTAAATATCGTAACGAGTGTTATGCTCTTGGTATTTTGCATATTTCATATACATTCTACACATTTCTACACCTTTCGATTTCTCCTCCTTCTTTCTAATATAAATATATCAAAATTCGCACTCAGTTTTTAATAAGCAATCTAATATCACGATTTTTCAATTAATAAAATCTAAATTCCTCCACATCGAATTAAAATAACAATTCTATACTCTTCGCTTCACTTCGTCTTTGAAAAACCGCATTCCAAACAATAATGTTTCTTTAAACAAACATCCGACAAAAAATAACACAACTTACGAAATTACAAAGATTCGTTCGAACGGAAGAATAGCTACTGAAATTGAAGTTCCGCGTAACTAACCGGAAGTGTGCCCGAAAAGCGAGCGTAAGGTGCCCTTAAGAAGGATGAAAATGTCCTCAGAAGAACTATAAAAAGCGTTCCACGGGTTAGCAGGCTTGATCACGAGCGGAGTATCCCTCGGGCCTCTCCGTGACTTCCGGTTCTTGGTAGCGGGCGACGACGCGCGTGTGCCAGCGCGGTGACCGGATATGGCGAAGAACCGACTGACCAAATCGTTCGACGGAGAGCCGCCGCTTCGCGTATCGAGCTTTTCATGCGAATCACGCGTTCTCCTGTACCAAATACCAAGCTCGTATCGGTGACATCATACTCCGCGTTGTATACTTGTGCCAACGTGCACAGGTGAACGCGTGCTAGAGTATACAATTGGATGGAACGATGTCGTCGTTTTCAATCGCGAATCTCAGTCCTTTCCTTACCGTTGCTTGACTTTAATCGTTTAACTTGTTAACTGGACGATGACTGAAAAATCATAATTAGAATCGACTAATTTTGATAATCATGGAATTAATAGTTAACAAAAAGTGTCAATTTTAATTTAATGTAGATATGATATAACGTCGAGCGCAATTTCAAAAGAGTATTGATAATCAGTATTTGAGATTTTTATGCTGTTCTTTTATTTCTTCATACTATATATTATTACATAGTATGTAGATTAGTTACATGTTCTATTTTTTATCTTATTTTGTTATTCTCGTTTGATTGTTCAAATTCCATCAGAAACCACCCTAGTTGAATTAATCCCTTATGGATTCAATTTCAATTGGAAAAAACATTAAACCAAAATTACAAAAACATAAGCAAACTCTTATTATAAAGAAATCAATAACACCCAACATTAATGAATCGCTAAAAGCTTTCACTAACGACATTCATGAATTCTAAAATAGAAATTCCGACAGAGGAAAACGGAAAGTCAAGAATTATGAAAACAAAAGAAGGAAGGAAAAATGCGAAAGATGAGTAGACAGAAGGAGGAAAGTTTACGAAGAAAGTCATCGTAGGGTTCGGTGATTCGTGGCCCATCGAGGTTTCTCTTCTGTTCTTCCTTCGTCACGGTATTTACGTGACGAAGGTGGCAGTAGAGAAGGGAGAAAAAACCAAGAGAAGAATAATTAATCAGTAAGCGAATCACGTACGCGGGGATGCATATATAAGACCATAGAACGTCGTGTACTTACACGAAGGAGCAAAAGGAACGCACGTATGCACGAGCCTGCGTATATACCTTCCATCCGGTTCTGGATAATTCGGATGCCTAATTTTGTCCTCTTAGAAAAGTCGACTGGCGGAAATATAAACTACCGTGAACGAACAAGGAAACGATTTATGATTATGTTCCATTATCCTATATTTTAAGTGTTGGACCATCTTTTGTGCTACTTTATCTCAATGTAAAAAAATAAAAAAAGGAACGCATTGGTTTGGGTTGTTTAACTTTTTACATCTTATGTACGTATATTTTTACAGTTAAACATTTTATGATTGTTATAGAATAAGTGAACGACGACGCTTGTTTATGAATATTGGAGATTTGAGACGCTGGAGATTGATGGTAAAAAATATGAGAAATTTCGAGAGATACGCTACTAACCGACCATGTGATCGGCAAAATCTCGAGAAACACCCTCGTGACTAGATAAAGAAAGAAGCGAAAGGTATAACGAAGAAGGAATCTCGAAGGAAGTAGGCCGTGCAAATGAGGAAGTCTGTCGACCTGCTCTGAAACTAAAAAATCCAACAGTCGCTTGCTAATTGAAGAACAAACAGGCACAGTTCAATCGGAGGTTCTGCAGGAAAAATCGTGACGAAATTTATTTTGACGACTCCATTATGGTACGAAATTTTTACATTTTTAACTTTGTAAACTACGGAAACATCAAAGAGTTATGGTTCAACATTTGAACTTTCTTAATCTTCCTTTTCCTTTCGCTAAAGGAACAGGTGAATATTCCGGTCCAACTTGTATTTGTTTGTTACACATAATCGAATGCTTCTTTTCCAAAAATTTTACAAATATTCGTATAAATGTACAACGAATGCACGTAGAATATCTAGTATAATTTATATCGCGCATACCGATCATTAATGATAACAATTAACCCCAGTTAAGAAGGAGACGATAACGAGTTTCACTTGGCAGCTTCTCCACCTAACTGTTTTACAAGCAACTCATAATCAACGATACTTTAATTTGCAAGCTCTCGATACAATTATCAGCGGCATCCTTAAGTTCATCAAAACTGTCTTACTATCACACAGCTACTAATATTGCGCTCAAAATAACCAAACCGCAATTTACCATATAAATACTATTCCAGTCGTTGAATGTCTCCATCTGTTACATAATTTGAGCGTTCAACTGCAACATTTTTGTCTCTAAATGCGCAAGAAGTGACTAATGGACTGAAGACCTTACATTCTTATGAAGATTATGGAGGAAGTGGTACCTAAATAGAGATCTGTTTTACGCTGTGAATATTATAACGAGCATCTTTATGCAACATTTTTGCACATTCAAGTTCACATAAACGAATAGAAATCCGCAGTCTAATATCCAGAGAGGTACGATAAAAAAAGTAAAGAACTAATCTCAAACTTTACCTACCCTTTTATAAATAATTCCACGAGTTCTACTTTCTTTACACTTTCAAAATAAATAAACCAAAAGCCAGGATTTACTAATCGAGCAACTAAAATCGATGAAAAGGAAGTAAGCAACTCGGACCTTACCTCCATTTCTACAAATAATTCCAAAAGTTCCATTCTTCCAATAAAGGTTGCTCCCAGCCATACTCTTCGCGGAAAAAGGTCCCTTTAAAATACCGATTTCACCTTGCTTCTTGGTCAATTGGAAGATCCGTTAAACGTCTGACACTTTGGATAGATCTCGTTCGTAATTCGCGATACCCGCGAGATCGGTTGGCACATTCCGTGGAATCGATGGGAAAACGAGCGGAACCGACAATTACCATTAAAATAACCACGAGCGCAACGCAACGAACGAAGGAAAAAAGTATTGTTTCGACCAGCTACGAGCACCGACGAGACTTTTTATCTGAACAATATATCGCGCTCTTTTGCTTATCGCAAAACCGTGACTGATAACTCTTCTCTTTTTCCTTCGTTCTTTTCCTGTACCTTTTTTCTTTTTTTCTTTCTTTTGAACCGCATTTTATCGCCGAGTGTAACAGGTAGCTCGTAACACGTTGCGACGAATCAACGAACCTCGTCGCGATTATCGAGCCGTTTTCACGGTTCGTGGCTCGCGAGTCGAACACCACGACCCGTTTGCAGATCAGTGTCGCCTCGACCAGGAAATCGGTCTCGTCTTACAGGATGCCGGTGCGTCAATATTGACACGTTTCTTACGAAACCACCAGAGAAAGAGGAAAGAAGGAAGATAAAACGAGAGAAGGGAAGAATTGAGAATTTGGAGAAGTTTTTGGGAGGTGGCAGGATTTCAAGGTCGCTGGGTCTTTGCTAGAGTTCAGGGTCGTTTATGTCGTTGATTTTGATTTAATGTAGGGTAAGGTGATGTCGTATATAGGGTGTTAAAATTCCTTAGCCTTGGATTAGTTAGTTTTTTATGTTTGATTTTTTGGAAAGTTAGGAATTTGTAAAAGGGAAATTTGGGATGTTGGTTTGAACTTTATCGTAGATGGGAGTACAAGAGAATTGTTGAAATAGTTCTTTAATTGAACGTAAAAGATTTATACATTAAGGATAAATATTTTTGGGTACAGATTAGAATTTGCACGTAGGTGCGGTTTTCCTTAGCGGAGAAGCGCGCTAAATTTCTTAGAATAAAGAAGAAAATTCAATCGCAAGCTTGAAGATTAAAAAATACTAAAAATTGAAATGTTAAAAATTTGTTATATTTGTAAATTTAAGGATTGATCCATCTAAACATGCAGATATTTGAAAATTTAAAAGTTTAACAATTTTGAATGGAATTTGAAACATTGAGGAACTTTGAAATTAAATGTGTGTCAAACGCGTGATTCCATTCAGATAATGGAATTCACCTGGGTGGCATACGTAATCGTTGATCACGGAAACAGGAAATTGATACGATCGATCAATGGACAGTGGTAACGATAGGTACTTAACTCCATAATATTATGACCTAACAGTTACGAGAAATTTCCCGTTATCGTTGTAAATTTCCTTACTAATTATACAATTAGACAATTCGTGTTTTATCTGATAAATTCAATAAATATCACGAGTTTATTTCGATATTATTATAATTTAATAAATGTATCAGTAACATCTAGTTGTAACGGGGAGAAAGTAAAAAACATGAGAATCTAATTGTCAACACTTTTATTGTTTTCTTGTGTTAAACTTTAGTCGTTTATCGAGAAACGCTAAATAACAATAGTAACGCGTATATAAGATTATAAGGTGAACATTAAAAAGAAGTAGGAATATGTGAATATTTAAACGCATAAATCCGTGAAAAGGTATAAACAAAAAAAGCTGGGAACAACAGAGACTAGTAAGAAATAATAGACAACAAACCAGTTGCGTTATTTCAACGACAACCAGATAAAA